AAATAAAGTAATTTTCTAATTATATTTCAATAACCGGCTTGACTTTCTTGCAAGGTATATGCTTGAAGGGAAGAACTTACATAATGGATCCCAGACTTCGTCCACCCAAAAAATAGGATAAAACCACTTGTGACTAATGGAAGTTCTCCATTTTTTCTTCTTATGATTTGTCCAAAAAATGCGGTTTGTACAAATTCTATAGAAGGATTTAGCACGAATTCAAATCGAGACTTCTTTTTCAAATCTTTTCATGATTGTGAAATTGATTAATGAGTTTTAACGTTTTATAACCAAAATTGTCTTCATCCATTCACAAGAAAGCAAATTGATACATTAAATAATTATTGATATCTAACTATGTGTTTCTGAATCCCATCCAATCTACATTACAAAAAACAAGTAAATTGTAAAATCGCAATACAAAATGAGCAATGTAGTCAGGTAATAATACATCAGTACTTAAGTTACGCTTGATTTGCTATATAAGAAAATGTAAATTTACATAATTAGGTTTAATTTTTGAGTTTGCCTTACTATTGGACCCTGCCATGTCCAAGTTTTATCGAGGACGAGGGAGTGGAGTTTGGAGAAGGACATGTTTATGCAACGGTGATAAAGAGTCTTGGAACTAGATAGAATGCGTTGAGTCTTGGAAAAAAATTCATCATGCTTATGATTCAAAATGTTTATAGTTGAGACTTAACTTTGTAAAGACCGATAAGATGAGTCCAAAATAAAGATATTAATAGGTCGAGTTGAGCCTCACAACTTGCCCCCGTCAAATTCATCTCGACCTACCAAGCGACCCAGCTCACTTTACCAAATGAAGACTTGACTTGACCCACAAACACTACTAAAAAACAAAGTTTTAGGCACGGATTTTCGATTCCTAAAGCCTCAATATCCGTTGCTAATAATTTTCACCAACAGAATATTTGCAACCACAAATTCGTTGGTAATTTGAGGGTCGTTGATAGTTACTAATGAATCATACCGTAGGTAAAGAGTAAACATTTTAAAACAGATTTTTCATTGGTAAAGTGTGAATATTTTACTAATGGAATTTTCGTTGGTAAAAGTCTTATCCAATACCAATCGACTTTTCGTTGGTAAATGTCTACCATTACAATTGGTAAAAATCAATGTTGCAAATAACCGTATGATAAAAAAAAATTTATTTATTATTATTATTAGTATTATTTATTTAATAATTATAATTTTTATTTTATTTTTAGCCAACTGAATTAAAAGGCCAAAATATTGTTTAACTCCTTATTGGACCACAAATTTATAGAGGGCAACTACATAGATATTGTTATAAACTTTCGATATGGGATAAGTGAATTATTTTTATCAACGGATAATCCATTTTTAATTACCAACGGAATATCTATTGCTGAAAGATCAAAATGTTAAACGGTTATATTAGGCATGGAATATCCGTTGGAAAAGAGATATCATTTTTACTAACGGATAATCTGTTTCTAATTACCAATGGAATATCTGTAGGTAAAAGATCAAAATGTTAAACAGTTATATTAGGCACGGAATATCCGTTGATAAAGAGATATCATTTTTACCAACGAAAAATCAGTTGCTCATTATTGTAGCTAAAAGTGAATTATTTTTACCAACGGATAATCTGTTTTTAATTATCAATCCGTTGGTAATATTCGGTACATCACCTACGGAATATCCGTTGGAGGAAGATCCAAATGTTAAACGATTACATTAGGCACGGAGTATCGATTGGTAAAGAGATATCATCTTTACCAACGAAAAATTCGTTACTAATTATCGTAACTAAAAGTGAATTACTTTTACCAACGGATAATCCGTTTCTAATCACCAATGGATTGCATCCGTTGGTAAATTTCCATAGGTGAAAAGTTGTTTTTTAGTAGTGAAACTTATCCCTTAGTGGGTGAGCCAATCTGGTGGGCCAATTTATTTATCTTTTTTTTNNNNTGGGGGCCAATTTTTTTTTTTTTTTTTTTTTTTTTTTTGGTGTATGAAAAATACATTTCATTCACCCATTATGAATCAACTCATGCGAGTCGACGAATTTAATACCCCTAATACAAAACTAACTGTCACATTGGGTCACATTGTCATGCCAAGTAAAATATTATTATAACTTTAAACACATAATATATTATCTCACATTTATCTCTTGAATTTAATGTGTTCACTATTAACTCTAACCATGTATACAAGCCACATCTTTTCTTAAAATGGTTAAAGAACTACAATTTCCCTTCACACACAAACGATCAAAATTATGTCTGCGTTGAGTTTGCCTTCATTTATACAAATCTCCGTTATTATCAACCCATATTTGTTATTCCTAGGCATTAGGTAACTAGGGAAATTTCATTTTAGCTTGTTGGCGTGTAATTAGAATGTACTAACTCACAATTAAACAAAAAAAATAATTACACACAAGGTATATATACCCTTCAACTAAAGCACAAAAAGTAAAACTTCACATATGCATGCACTTACTCAACTATACCTAATTATTAACTAAAAAGTCAATTTTGTAACAAATCAGCAGTCTTTTAAATGATTACTTATAATTAATCCTATTTGGTAATTAATTTATTCTAGAGCAAGTATATCCTGAAAATAAAGAAATATAAATAGTTGACTTCAAATCATTATTAAAAATCAGATAATAAAATCAAATATGATGTGATTTATTTATTTATTTATTTTCTATCAATCCTGCAGTTGAGAGGCCTCTAATTTGATATGGTATTTTGCATAATTTAATCAAGAGGCAAGGTCAATCAACGATAATGTAACTAGGGCAACAACTTATCTACTTAAGGGTGGACAGAAGTTATCATAATCGAACTAGAACCACATCAAAATCGACCTGTTAAGTTCGGTTCTACTTAAATTCTAATTAGTTATTGGTAATTAATTCCAGAATTGACCGATTTCGATCCGCTTTTCAATTCTAATACCAAGAACTAATAAACCTGATCTAAACGTAAATTTTTTTTACCTTTTTTTTCCTCCCTTTTTAATGATGGCTGGTGCAATGCACCAACTATTTTACATTTTTCTTATGAATTTCACCATATAGTACATAAAGTTCATATTCAATTTAATACAGTGTTTTTTATAAATTCAAACAAAAGGATTCATTAAATTTGTTATATGTAATTTTAAAATAATGAGATGCTTCTATTTCCAAATTGACATTTTCAGCTTCTCGAATTATAAAGAAAATATAAGCGACATCAAGCATATGTTTAAAGAATTTATTCACGCCAATGGTTAAACATTTTATGTAATTTGTCATGTTTAGTTAAACTTGAAAAACACAAATCGTGAGTATCCATGTTAATTGTTCTAATGAATAGATGATGATGAATATATGTATTAATTAAATAAATATAGCTTAAAGAACTTGTATAGTTAGGCAATTCATTTGCATTGGCTACTGAATTTGTGAATTTAACATGTTACAGGATGAACCATATTAGATCGAATCGGATGATTCGCTTCTAGTTTGTTTCCATATGGTTCTATAATTAGAGATGGAACTAGTTTTATTTTCAAAATACTTATTGGTACACGATTCAAATCTCTTTAAAATCGGATTGAATCGGATCTGATTAGATTGCACTCACTACTAACTATAACAACCAGTCGGTACAATTGCAAATGTTAAGCTTTGTATGGAAAATTCAACAATCACTTGAAAAGGTAAAGAATCAACAGTCGAATAGGCAAAAAATCATTTAGCATTTTTTTTTTTTTGGGATAAGATTAAATTAATTTAAGTTAGTCAAACTCCTTTTTTATTTTTTTTAGTACATTCATATGATCCATAACTTAATACCTACTTAGTATTCATATATTGCGTAGGATATAGAATTCATAATACTTGAAAGCACTCCTAAACGTGCACTTAACAAAACCTAATTTTATACAGTTTGTTCTAAATAGCAAAGTTTTTCATAATGTGAAATTTTGTTCTTAATATTTTTTAAACCTAGACAGCTTAAATTTTTCATAAGAGATTGCTCAACATATGCAGAAAATCAAAGTAAAGAACTATTTGTGTTCATATCTTTTTTCTCTCTTTTGTAAAGAAATAAATCAATCAGTAATAAATCATCTATCAATTTCCTTATAAAAAAAAAGTTTTTTTTTTCAAATTTAATGAATAATTTACACTATTAATTGAATTAGTTAGTTTATATTTTCGTCGAGATCTTCCTAATCCTTTTGAGAAAGGGAAAATTAAAAAAAAATACAAACAAAATTATGCAATAATAAAGTAGCAGAAATATAAAAAATATTATTAACAACAATTCATTGGAACCCTATATCCCTAATAAAAAAAAATTAAGATATATAAAAAAATCATAATATATATATGTTTAAAAAAGCCAGTTATAATTTCTCTCTCACTTTAGAAATCCTTTTTCTTTTTGAGTTGAGCACTCCGCTTCTTTGATTTTTCCATTGGAAAACACTTCTTGATTAAATATTCTTACCCCTTCACCTCGCACCCCACCCCGTCCACCAAAGAAATTACCGTTTGATAACATTTTATTCCATGGAAAATGTCACATTCGAAGAATCCATTTTCTACTTTGGATATTTGATATAAAAGTGGANCCGTTTGATAACATTTTATTCCATGGAAAATGTCACATTCGAAGAATCCATTTTCTACTTTGGATATTTGATATAAAAGTGGAAATGATATACAAACATTTAAAACATATTTTTGGCCAATTTCATGAAAATCGAATTTCTATGATTTTGGTGATTTTTTCTTTTTCGACTTATATGAAATTAATTTGTGTTTTCTATCTTTACTGTCAAACGGCCCCACAGTTGAAAATGACCAGAAAAACCGACCAAAAGACCCACAAATGGCAGAATTGCAATTTCCTTCAAACTCCATCCTTGTTTCCAGTGCGCTATTCTCATTGATTAATCATCACGTGGCTCAATTTAGCACACTTCCCCCATCATCTTTCTCACTAGGAAAAATCACACATTAAAAGAGAAACCACAGTTCACAATTCACATTTCACAGATTCACATAAAGAAAACGCAGACACACAGTGGCTTAAAGTTTTGCTCTTTGAAAAATTTTCAGCTCAAGAATCACTGCAAGCTGTGATCTTTTCTCACGCACTAGTATATTAGAGTTTTACCTAGTTATATAGTCGTAACTGTTCAAATCTTTTTCTTCTCAAAAAATGGAGAAAATTACTGCTTTGGTTAACTTTGAGCTCAGAGCTTGTGGGATAGTGTAGAATTCTATCATCAAAACCAAAGGTTTCTTGTGTTTTTTATTTAAAAATTTTCTCTTCCTTTCCCTTCTCTCCTCTCTGAAGAATGGGTTGCAAGTGCATGATAGTTGGGAATTGGGTTAGATTGAGAAAAAGAAGTGGTGGGTTGAGAACTAAACAGGCAGGGCGTGCATCTTGCAGAGGAGCTTAAGCTTTAAGCCTTGTTAATATATCGAGGAAAAAGAAAATAAAAAAGGGAAAGAAAATGTTTTCCGTCTGGGAGGACTAATCATAATTATTTTCCCCTATCCTCTCTGTTCTGGATTTGATCTCCTGAAGTAGTGAATTTTTCTTGGCACATCCAAGATTATTTTATAATTCTTCTGTTCATTGGTGCATGTTGTTGTATACTGATACTGCTGCATTTGGTAACTGTTTGCAATGTGGTATCTGTATAAAGATGTTCTCAAGACCCTTTGTGGAGTCAACCAGTGGGATTATGCTGTTTTCTGGAAAATTGGTTGCCAAAACCCCAAGTAAGTTCCATAAAAATCAAAATTTTTAATTTTTTTGTGAAAGAATTTCAAGAGAACCACCCCCTTAATTGGGATTTTAGTATTGTTTTTCAATTAATCATGATAAAATTTATAAATTTTTTATAAATGTTACTGTTTGATCTGTGCATTTTGGCAGTTCCTTTAGGCTAATTTGCATGTAATCATTTTTTCTTCTTCTTGGAATTTTGTGCTGAGCTTTGTTATTGGAAAGCGAATGAAAATAAAAGAATCCCAATCTGATGGTACTTACTTGCTCAGCTCCAGCAAAACAGGGAACCAAGTGCAACTGCTGAACATTCAGTGTTCAGTCCCTATCTTTGCCATATTTTTTCCTTGACCAAATTAGATGATAATATTTAAGTCATTTGATCTGGTTCATCATTATTGGCTATGTTTTAAAGCTTCCTAATCTTTAAACTAGGTTTGATTTTAAGTATAATAGATTGGTTGGATTCTGTTGCCTTGTTGTTGCTTTGTGATCTAGTAGTAACAGTCAATTTTATCTATTTTTGGAGTTTTGTGGGTTGTCCGTTTGCTTTGTCTTGGAGAATCTCATGAAATCCTTTCTACTTCTATGATTTCCAATGCATAAATTTGTTCATTTCTAATACTCTCTTTCTCGTTTGAATCTATATATGCTTAACTTCTTGTCTTCAACAATTCCAGGATTTTGTTTCTTTCCTCTATTTTTTTCACAGTCAGCCACTAGAAAGGATACATGAAATTGGGAGATTACAGTTATATATCAAAGTACCGTGATTTTTTGAGAAGTAAATATGTAAACAATGAGGCCTTTTGAGAAAAATCAATACGAAATATTCGAACCATATTATATTTCCTGCTAATGTGAGAAAATATTACGCTTGCGTTGAAGGAGATTGAATCCCTATGTGATCAAGAACTAGTGCAAATTGAAATATCTCGAGTTATCCCTCTGGTGCACAATAGCCAAACTATAACATCGTGTGTCTCAAACCAATATGCACTATATGTAGACTTGCATGTATGCACATGTAGGTATTTTCAAACCAACCATTTATCTTCTGTCAATCGATATGATTTGACTTATCAAACCTTTGATTTTCCACAAATGGATAGCATACTAATATTAAAATGTTCCAACATTTGATATAGTTTGGATTGTGTTTCTTGGAAGATCCAATATTCTAATTTTGACTGAAATTTGATTTGGCAGGCTTTTAATATGGGAAGAATGTTATTATGCACCCTTACCATGTAATGGACTACCAGGGATTTCCAGAATTGAGAATCCAAAAATCGGTTACAAAGATTATAATGATTCCTGGGTTTCAACTGAAGATCACGTTTTACAGCCCAGGGTTCAAGCATGGAACAAAGTGCATGTGCTTGTAAACCAGATGATGTCGGACAAGCATGTTAATATTGTAGGAGAAGGGTACTACTATGGTTACTTGCATTCCTTACTGTTTTTGAGATTTCGAGGGAGTTGCATGGAGCTCGATTTAGTTACATTATGATTTTGTTTTCCAGACTAGCTGGAAGGGCTGCTTTTACTGGTAACCATCAATGGATTTTTTCTGAAAATTTTACTAAAGAACCCCATCCACCAGAGGTATGGTATAAGAGGCTTCTGTTAGTGCATTTTACATATGCTCTTGCATCTAAACCGCCTTAAAATAAAAGTTATGTATGCTTGTTTTATGCTGTTAGTACTTCTTCATTGGAAGTCTGCCTATTTTAAAGTTTGAATTAGGTTTGGCTAGCCTGTAAGCTCATTTCAGTTAAAATGAACTGCTCCAAAATATACACAAGAGAAATTCATTCTGGAAATTTGTAAGATTTATAAATAGTGATCTGCATTATGGAGCACAACAGTAAAATTCCCCTTCCTTTTTTCATTTTAGGTTCTGAAAGAGCTGTGTCAGCAATTTTCTGCTGGAATGCAGGTATAAATATTCACTTTGTTTTTGTTTGCTGTTCTGTGTTTTTTGTTTCACTGATTCTTTGCTTTCTATCAGACAGTGGCAATTATTCCCGTTCTTCCTCATGGTGTTGTTCAACTTGGTTCACACTTGGCAGTAAGTCTTCTTTTTCTTCACTCCCACATGTCTAGTCAAGGGAGACTTTTATAATTCAAGATCTTTCTACATGCGGTGAAATTCCAGTATGAAGTTCATATTACAGCAAACGAAGCCTTATTACTATTTATTAATAAACTCGGGTGGTCATATTTTTTTCTTCCCCTTCCTGATGTCTCTGAAAATCCCAAGTTAAATTTTGCTTTTGAGTCCAGTAATACAAATTGTGCATAATTCTTAGTATTTTGTGCCATTTCTGGTTCTTGATATAATGTAACTGTCTTGCTTCTCAGATAGTGGAGAATATGAGATTTATAAATGATGTGAAGAACTTGGTACTTCAGATGGGATATGCAGGTGGTGGATTACTATCTGATAATTATACAGCAAAAGAACTTTCTTCAGAAACAAGGGTATCAGAATGTCATGTAAATTTTACTCCTGGAGACATTTATCTTGGATCGAATACTATGAACCCTACTCCTTCCACTACTGAAAGTTACATCTATGCTGGAAACTCGGCTCAGACTTCTGGATTTGTCAGTCAAACATCTTGTTCTTTAGCAAGACAAATCCAGAATCATCTACAGTCAAATGATGCTGCATTTCAAACCTCGAACTTGAATGGAAATCATGTGAAGCTACACGATAACCATGAGGAATCAGAGCTTGTTTCGGCAGTTAAGTTCAACTTTAATTCCAAAAACCAATTGGTGCATGCGGTGACAAAAGCTGAAGTCATCACCTCAAATCCTGAAATATGGCTGAACCAACAGGGTTCTCTGAATATCCCAAGGTCCATATTAGTTCAACAACCATCTTGCAGTTCATCTACATTAAATAATGGCAATTTAAGATGGGCAGAATGTCAAATATTGTCGGGTGATGGAACTCAAGGCCATTTTTCCAACCAAAATGTGTCCACTGGCATTC